CCGAAGCAGACTCAAACATTTTTGCAGGATACAAACGCACACACACTCACCCACCAAGCCAGGACTCGTGGCGCATGTCTAACACTCGTTATGAGATTCATGGCCTACATGTGTTTGCTCCATGGCCTTGTGAATGGGCGCGGGGCGTGCTGTACTGTGGGCTATGTACTTTACGTGCTGGGCAGCCCGGTGGGCGTGACTGGGCTAGTCCTTAGTCCTTTGGCTGTAGTTGTCGTAGTAGTAGTTGTACAGCCGCCAGCGCCATGAGCCCTGGCATGAGGTGTCCTTGAAGCCATTTTCTTGTACATATAAACGGATTCTGGTCGTGGTCTTTTTTCCTTGGTCGCTTCTCTCATTTTTGTAGTCGCCCAGATAAAATTTTCAACCAGGAAGTTGGCTTCCTGTGGTGCTCGGTTCTGCTCCTGGTTCTGGCACTGCCACAGCCTGCCCTGGCCTCCCAACCCTGGCCCTAGCCGGTTCGCAATTTCTTTCATATTTTGTTTTGGCCATTACGTTGGCTACTTTTGTCGGTCATGGTTGTAGGTTTGTTCGTATATGCCAGTTGGTTGCGGGAGACATTCGTGCTGGCTATTTTCATTTTCTTTTGATTTTGATTTCATTCATGGCAGCACTCGGCTGTGATTTAATTTCAGAAATGTGACTAAAATGCGGCAGTGAAAATTAGGAGGGACCAAAATAAAAGATTGCCATTGCCAGTGTGTGAAGGACAATTCAATTTAAAATTAAGCTCTTAAAGCTATTAAACTTTAACTATCAAAGGGAGTTTCATGTCAGGGACTTTCCCAACTCTGTTTCGTTTGATGGCTTTCCTGGCTGTAACCAAGGTGAAGCAATTTGTCTCTCCAAGTATTTCAACTCGTATTTCCAACTCGCAACTACTTCGGTTTTCCATTTTCTTGGTGGATAAAGTTCTGGCTGCCCATAGTTTGGGCGGATATGGAATGTGGAATTACACACTCAGATCCCAGCACCCAGAACGGCTCAAGGACCCTTAAAAGCCACGTCCAGGCCACAATGGGCCATTTTTCTTGCCCATCCAATGTTGCGTGCTGTCGCCTTCTTTTGGATAGAGGAGATATTTGAATTTCACGCGCGCATACACTGGCAGGGATAAACTGGATTTATATCCGCTAATGCCTGTGATTTGTTCTATAAAATTACTTTATGCCTCGAACATGCCGGCGGACCTTGTCTGCCCTTTTTTTTTTTTTTTTTATTTCGGCCTTTGTTTTCGCTCCCAGCTAGCGCCGCCGGCAAGGACGGGCCGGGACAAGCCAGGATTCTAGGACTAAAGCCAGTGCTTACGCTTTCTGAACGAACGCCTCGGCAGCATAACGACTTATGGCCTTATCCTTTTGGTTTCGTTGGGAGTGGGTAAATGCCGGGTGTTTGCCGTTTTATTGTTTGGCTTATGTTGCTGATAGTGTTCGGTTGCCATGGTGTGCGTGCTTAGTCGAGTGTACACATACCTTACATACATATATGGGCCCGCGTGTGTTTGTTTGCTAGGAAAATGTTAGCTTTGTGCGGTCAACTCTAAAAACATTGTGGACTTTTCTAGTCCACAGCTAGTCACGATTAGCTCAGAACCTGCAGCCCTTAAGGTGTAGCCCCCGGCTTTTCGTTTGGCTTTCCAATCAAGCATACATTTAAATTGGATAGCCACATGGCCACAAATCAATTAGAAAATTGCAAAGTCCACCATGATAAGGCATTGCACATTGAAAATTATTATTGACAGTCACGCCCAGCGCTCTAGTCTTTTCCTCCAGAGTCCAGACTTTGGACTTCGATCCAGACAAACAAGCGTAATGAGGACAGGAAATCAGTTTTCAAAAAGTATTGGTTGGGGGATAGACGACAGGACGACAAGACGATAGGCAGGCCAGCCGGCCAACTGAATGCCGTCTTGGCAGCTGCCGTTTCTAATGAACTGCCTGGAATGTGGCACTCAGCCATAATGATTTCCAGCAATCGGGGCCTTTCAACTGACAGCTGGATGGGCCCGGACAGGCCAGACCCAAAGTCGATATATTGCGTTGTCACTGGACAGAAAAGCTATCCCACATACATCTCTTAATGGCAGACAACCTGTAAATATTGATTCCGCAATCAGTGGGTTGTGGTCTTCTGCCTACTGTTTGAGTTTATTGCAATTAGCATCGGAACAAAGGTAGGAACTTTAATTATGGCAGCATGTTCTTCTGGTCTGTGGGCAATCAATCATCTGTCCAGTTACAGTTCTTAAATTATCCACTGACAAACAATTATTGACTTTAATAGTTTGCTCATTAATCATGGACGTTCGAATCCAATGGGAAGTTCCTCAAACTCTCTTGGTCAGTCTTGAGGTCAGCAGTTTAAGCTGGAGCGGTTGGGGGTAAACATTTATTATGCTTTCGGTTTGTGGTTTCTTGTGTGTATTTTTGAACACCTGCGGGAAAGTTTGTTTTATTAAGAGCCACTCGACTGGAGGCAATTAAAGAAAATCGAAATTAATATGGAAACCAATCAAATGACCAATCAAATTCCACTCTATGAATCTTACTGAAGCACTTGAAATTTATCTGCTATTGAATTGAAATTGTGGCCTGCTTCCATCTGGGGATAAATATCAATATCCTTCGGTCCTAATCCAGTTGTTAAAGTCAAATTGGACCTCGCCTCGCCTGCAACTGTTGCCCCTTTTTGGCTTGTCTCGGAACATAGCGTTGATTAATGTTGATTGATTGATTATTTGCGTTTTTTTGACATGATGCACGCTTTATTGTCGTTCAGCTCGTGGAAAATCATCAATTTCCGCTTGTAAAAAAGCACAACGCCAGCTCGTTTTTTCTGCCTTCTCCTGCCATCTATCCATCCAGTCAGCTGGAGTAAAGCCTCCTGCCAGAGCTTGTTGCACAACACAAAGGAGTCTCATCTCCTCTCCAGCCCTCCGGTTGCCTTTAGCTCCTATTTTTTGCCAAAGTTAGTAATGAATTTTTTTTGCTGCCGTCTGGCAGGCACAGTCAACGAAGCATAATTGCGGTGGCTGAGCATCTTGTCAGCGGTCGTGCAGTTCAAATTCGTTATTCCCGCTTTTCGTTTGTTCTCCTCGGTTACATATTGGCCAGCTGCCAGGGCTAAAAAATGACGTGGAGTATTGCGACATTGATGTCAAAAAAAACCCGACATGATTATAAAGTCAGGCAAGGTCCTGGGAAGCCACAAGGCGAGTTACAGAATCATAACCCGACAGTGGTCTGAAAAATATAAAAAATAAGTTGTGTTATGATTATACAATTTTATTTTTTGACATGTATTTAAGTATAAAAAAAAGAGGAAAACGTGTTTTATCTTTATTCTGAATTGCAGAAGGCTTGAAATGCAATTTTCCTCTCTCAACAATTTTCCTGGTTAACCATAACCAATTTTAGGGCCAACAACCGCTAAATGCCACAAAAGTTCAGAGTTTTGGACCAGTGTTCAGTTCAGACGTCTGGTGTCTGACAGCATCTCCCGCTTTGGTATCTTGCCCGGTCTGCAGACCGATGTCGCCTGCGGTTTGGTCTTGGTCTTGGCCAGCCGGTAAGGTCATGATTGAATTTTCGCAAATTTCGGCTCGTTAGCGTGCGGCACGAACACGTACGTCATGCTGGGGGCTATCCCACAATACCAGACCAACGAAGGTTGGCCATGTTTATGCCTTGTATTGCAACAAGTTGCCAACTGTTTCAGCCCTTCAATTCACACACAGGCCTACAAAGGGAAACCTACTCGCAACCCTACACTTGACACGCTTCATTTCATTGGGTTTTGTTCTCTCCATTCGGCGTTCTCCGTTCGGCGTTCACCATTCAACGTTATCCGATTATTTCCATATTTTTCGCGCTGTCAGACACGTTTTTTACTTACTCAGTCGTTGACATTTTGCGTGACTGACGATGGACGCGTGGTGTGAATAAATGAAAATGGTAGCGAATGGAAATTGGCGCCACTGGATAGGCCCTCCAACTGGGGCAATGTGTTTGCCATCGGCCACTTTGTGTCTTAATTATGATTGCGAATAACGGAAGCGGCAGCACATTCAAAATTAATTTATTGATTTTCGGGTCTCAATTTTTCAAGTGTTGACTCAATTGAGAAAATTGCCTCCATGAAAGATGTAAAGTTTCAAGTGGATATAAATTACAATTTCCAAGATTCTTTGAGCCTCAGATTTGATATGCTCTTCAGAAAATTTGCCTATAGAACCTCTGGCAAATAACTCAATTTAACGCACATGTTTAACTTCAACACATATGTACTAAATGTCAGCGACTGCTGGCCTGTCTGCAAACAGACATTACGTATACGCAGCGGGTGCCGAAAGAGTCGTTCGGCAGTACCCTGCGTGCAAATATAAATTTTCAATTTTTTAAAGCTCACTCCAGCGGCGTCACCTTGCTCGTACGTGTACGTGCTAGCTGGCAGAGAGTGACCAGAAAATGCCGTTTAAATGCCACCCAATGCCCCCTGACCTGACGATGTTCATCGTCCTACCTACAGAGGTGGCAGGGGAGGGGGCAAATATTTGACACCTCCAGTGCAGTACCCTGTGACCGCCCCCAAACCGGCATGTTGGCGTAAAAATTTCTCATGTGCACTTTGGCAAACAAATTAAGATTTATTGAGCCAGGGCCAAGGACCATGTCCTGTAATCTGCCAGTTCACTGAAGTACCTCCCGTGGAGGGTAGCCGCAACGGCTCGTGAATTTACTTTCCCAATGGAATTTCAAGAGGGGTCGCTCTTGGCGCCTCTTCAAATTGCCTGCATACTTTTGCGCTTTACTGACCTTTTTCGAGTTCTTTTCATTTGGTCGAAAAACTTAATGGTTTTTCAATTAAACCACAATTGGACGAGTATCGATGACGATGATTTTCATTTTAATTGCCTTTTATTGGACCACTCTTTAGCCTTACACTCATAAGCTTTTTTTCTTTATTTATCTCGCCCGCAGATGGACAATCGGATGTGCAGGTGCAATTAGTGGTGCCCAGATATGTGGAGCGCGGATCGAGCGCCACCTTTAAGTGCACGCACAATGTTCGGCCGGAGATACTGTTCAAGGTAAGTGGGATTAGGTCTGTGAATTCCGGATCATGCCATGCATGGGGTTATAAATTATGGAAAGCACATTAAAAACTTTAAATTGAAAAATAAAAATTGCCGTCTATGGCTATCTGGCTAGCAGGCGAGCAGCACAAAGAAACTTTGTTCGCCTTGCACTATTTTGTGGGCAGAAAGTTTCCGGCACTGTGACAAACACAGCCAGACCGAGCCGTAACCCCGGGCCAGGAGTAATTCCTGCAAGTTTCGTGCCGCAACTTTGTGGCAGTCAAAGGCATCCCGCATAGAAGCGTGTCCTCGCTGTGTAGAAAAAGTTGCAACCAAAGTGCCATTCCGCTTCATCGAAGCCTCCGGGGCCGTAAACCTTTTACCGCTTTCCGTCTCAATATCAGGACTTGGCTAGTAGGTCCCGGTCTTGCTTTTGTTTTTGGTAAAGGTTTCGGTTTCGGTTTCGGCTTCAGTTTCAGTTCGCTGTTGCTTTCGGTTTCCCAGACGCGGCAATTAATTTCACTTCAGTTTACTTAATTCTATCACGAAACATCAACAGACACGCACTTGCGTATTCGCCAAAATCATTGCCAAGCCTCGGCTTCGAGAAATTGAATTTATGGCAACCGGCAAGCATGAGAGTGCCAGGACACAGAGGGAAAAATGGAAGTGAAATAATTAATAGTCATAAAAGCATTATTTAGTTGCGGTTTCAGGGAAAAAAAAGTAGTTAGCTCATTAAAAGGTTATTAATATTCAATGATGTGTTTTAAACGATAATATTAAATTAAAACTGATACCCAATACCATATAGACTTTTTTCCGTGCATGTCCCCAGAGCTGGAAAAACTTGAACGAATAAGGAAGGCACATGCCCACGGCCAGCCCGCATACTTTCAATTTAGTTGTGAACTTTGTGGTGGCCACTTTGGAACTACAATTCACACCGCTCCATCGAGCATTCCCATTCGATTCAAGGCCGGCTTGACGTTGACGTTTTGTTCGCTCTAAGTACCATAAAAAAGCGTACAAATTTTTATGGCTCATGACGGAGGACGTTCTGGCAGAGTAGGCAGTCTGAGGAGGAGCTGACCAACATTAGCCGTATATTGATTATTTTTCTTCGTTTTTTTTTTTTGTTTTTATGAAACTAAGATGGATTTAGAACACGGTTGAATTGACGTTGACGTTAGGGCCGCAAAGTTGGCTTTGCTTATAAGCCAGAAGGGAAGCCATTGTTATTCAGAGAGTCCGTCGGATGGTAAAGTACGGAGAACACGAAATTTCATGTCGTGTTTCCGGATCGTGACCCGGGGTAACTTTAAGTCGACATTGCGGGTGTCTCATTTGCATGGAAATTCGGGGAATATTCCTCCGCTGGCCGCCAAAGTGTCAACTAACAAATTTAATGCGTCGCTGAGCCGCGCAAATGTGTAATGTATTCCGGGATGTGGAAACATGCACAATTAGCAGACTAACCAAATAACCAAACTGCCAAATTGCCAAACAGCAGCGACGCCCTTATACAGATGTAGACATTTATTTATTTGGCCAGTCGGTCGAGTTGTGGCGAGGACGATAGCTAATTAGTATAATTAACTATATAAGCGAGTGCGCTTGGCTCGGCTTTAAGTTCCCAGCCGTCCAGTCAGCCAGTCCAGTTGGTCGGCCGCCATTCGAATTGCTGCACGAAGCGTGGCAAATTGCCTGGAAGTGGCACTAAAAAGGCAATTAAAACGCAAATGCGAACACTGACGGGATCATGTCGCCCGCCAGGCCACGGGGGCTGCTTAACACATGTAAGGCATAATTTTTGTCGGCCAAAATTATACACGTATACATTCAAATTAAATAAACTAATTACGGTATGCGGCACGAGCCTGGGAATCGGACTCTACAATCGGGGCCAGTGCACATTAATGAGATTTTGATTTACCACTTTTCAGCTTTTGTGTATTACTTGTGACAGGCGCGTTGGGGAGAGGGGTAAACAGAGCGAGCGGAAGGGGCGCTTGGGTGGCAAGAGGCAAGTCCTATATGCGGGCTAATAAGCCCAAACACAAACAAAACGGGAAGGCAAAAGAAATAAAGTCGAGCTCGGGCCGACACGCCAAAACAAACACATGCCAAAAATGAAGGCACTTGAAAAAAAAATCCTTAAAATATACATACATAGGTAGGTTTCCTTAACATTCAATTAATTATTTTTAAATTTTTTGTAATTATTTATTTAATTTATATTACTTTTGAGGTGCATTTTGCCTCCAAGTCCGAACATGATATCATTCAAGTCCTAGTTTTTTCCAAGTGCACTTTCTGGCTAAGGCAAGGTAAATATTTGGAGCAGGTAGCTGGGTGGGTGGGCTTTTGTTATTCATTACTTTGAGATCCATTGGCAATATTATGGCGATACGGAGTTGCATGTCAAATCGAGAGAAAATGTTTGAAACGACCACAAGTGGTTGATAAAAGTTGATGCGTGTCTGTTGGTCCTAGAGAGCGCTAATGGTCATTCCCTCTGCCCTCAACCTCTTTTGTGGCCGCCGTGTTTTTGTTTGAGTTTGCCCTCTCATTATGACCCTGTGGGCTGGGGTGGCAGTGTATGGGTGAGTGCTTGTGTGGCCTTTATTGATTGACCCGCACAAAACACATAAACACACACACCCACCAAAACGCTGAACACACACGGACCAGGCCGCAGTAATGAGGCTTGAGTAATGGCAACATTTGCGGCACAAATTACGCATACGCCTCGCCTGCCGCGGACACATTCAATCAGCACATTAATATTATTAAGTTGCGTGCAATCGATGCAATTTACCTGGACTCTGTAGCATGTCAATACAGCTATTAGAAATCCCTAATTAGAGTTGTTCAGATCTTGAGGACATCGGAGCGAGTGCCACATTTCCCCGGAGAGTGCATTCTCCATGAGGCGGAATTAATTACTTTTCAACTTTAATTCCGCTGAAATACGATTAAGGCCAGCGCATAAATGCGGGCGTTAAAAAATATGCATAATAAATAAATGCTCGGTGTAATTAAAAATGGTCGACAAGAGCCGCACATCCGGCCCGGAGCCCTGTCTGGCTTCCTCTTGCCATTCCCCTAAAAAACGCTCAGCTAGTTTCAAGTTGAATGTGGAAACTTGCGCATGAAAATTAATTTCCATTTTCATTATTCATATTTGTCGTTGTGTCGGCCCTGTCCCCCTCTGCCATTTCTCTTGGCTCCGCCTCGGCTACACAAAAACAACTTTTAGTGCCCATTCCATTGAAAGGACTGAAAGTTGCGTTTGTACAAGTAGATTTTGTTTTTAATTGCTGGGGTGACATGCGCCAACACCCATGCTACTACGGCACGCCCTTCGTGTGATTCTGGCAGTGCCATTCCAATAAAAACATTTTATTATTTACAGTTTTACAGTTTAACGCGCTAACAATTCAGCGAGCGCAGCATCATTCAGTTTGTGCAACTTGTTGCAAAGTTAAATTGCTTCGCCTGGGGGCTGGGAATCGAAGTGGGGCAGACGTTCTGTTGTGCAACTTATTGCGCAATGTTTATTCCAATTTAATCATTTCGCGTCGTTGTTGTTGACTGTGCGGCAATATTAACCGATTTCGTGGCCAAGACTGCCATCAAATCTGACACTTTCAATCACTGTCAGGAGCAGCAGACTCAGATTACGTATTTGAGGAAAATGGGGAATCGAATGCTTTTAATATTGGTATATGTGTTTTGTATTCCAGGTGACATGGCTGAAGGTTGACAAGGGCAAGTTCTTTGAGTTCATAAACGGACGCAATCCACCATTTCGGAATTCCACCATCGATGGAGCCGAAATAGACGTAAGTACCCCGGAGTAAAGAGTCGGAGGTGGAGGTGGGCCTCCCACTTATTTACTCAATCATCATTTTCTCTGTCACTCCAAGGACCCGTAATTGTCCTAGGATTAAGCACGGTAGAATATACTGGTAAATTGCAGCTAATTGGTAGACACTTGCCGCATGTTCTGCATGTCCCCCTAGCCACGGGGCCAATCAATTGATTTGCTAATGAGCATTCTGTGTCCGCCACCGCATTAATTCGCTACTTATTTCCACTCTATCTACTCATTCTCGGTGGCCGCCTTCAATTAACAGTGGGACAACTCGAACGAGCGGCAGGTGACGCTGAAGGATGTCCAGTTCGATCTGTCCGGCCAGTTCTACTGCGAGGTCTCAACGGATACACCCATTTTCACCAAGGCCAGCGCCGACGAGCTCATGAGCGTATACTGTGCGTAATTGTTATCCCAGCCTCTAAAACACAGCCCACTCTAATTATGGTTTTTATTTCTATTGCCCATTTACGCTATATCCATCCATATCGGCATGTGCAGTGCCCCAGACAGGACCGCCCACAATTAGGTTTCGCAAGCGGACGCCCTTCGCGGTGGGCGAGAAACTTTTCGCACTGTGCAACACCACCCGCGGACGTCCCGCCCCACACATCACGTGGCTAATCAATGGGAAAAAGGTGCGTATGCGTGATATTTGAAACGAGCCGAAACCGATACGAAATTAAGCGAATCACACTGGCTGGCATGACGATTCGACGACGATTGCGCAAGCATTCCTCGGATGTGTTTGCAGTAATCGGAGCCAATTTGCAATGGATTATTTTGCGGGTATCACATCATGGGCGATGTCCATGGGCGGGAGTTCCGCTGCTGGGCGTCAGGTTAATCAGAGGGATAATGCACTCCAAATGACCACTCGGGGAAGTGGAAATCGCTGTCAGTTTCACTTTTGGGGACCACTGCATTAAGATAAGCATCGGATTAAGCCATTTTATAATTATGGCCTACATGGGCGGTCGGGAAAGCTTTCATTTTAATTGCACCAGCTGCTGTTGGGTGGCTGGTGGCTGGGGCAGAAAGGAAATGAAATTTAAATAAATTTATTATGTCCACCGCTGGCGGATGGACTACGGGAAAACTCTAAAATGAAATTTATTCATAAACGCGCCCAGGGGCAGAAGCAGCAGCACCAGCAGCAGGCTGCAACAGTGTGTGTCCGAATGGGGCAAGCACAGATGTGGGACTGACCGACCCCTCGGGCCGTGGTCCATATTTAATTCAGGGCCGTGCTCCCGGGTCCAGAAGTGATGCTGACGCACCAGTTGTGTCAGTGGTTGTGGCATCAGGGCAATGGAATTTGACATTGAAGTGACTTTTGTTCAAAGTCAATTGTAATTGTTGCCCGCCACTGGGGGCACTCATCAGCCTGCTGACTCAACCGCTCACCACGAATCTTTTGTGTACCGTCAGGTGGAGGACAAGTACGTGCGCACCCACCATGTGTATTCGTTCACTGGGAAGCACCAGCGGCGCACACAGCAGCAACAGCAGACACAGATGAGTCAGCAGCAGTTGCAGCAATACTATCAGCAGCAGTACTACAATTCGTACCACCAGCAATTCCACGTCCCCATGGGTCAGTTTATGGACCGATACGACAAAAGCCTACGCTGGCCGGCAGGAGCTCGAGGTGGTAAGTAGAGTCTCCATTTATTGGTAAGGCTTTAACGCTACAAAGTACCAGTCTAGTTTGGGCAGTTTACCTCATTTTTAACCAATCTAATCAAACTCTGAATTTCAAATAACGAATTCAGTGTCATCAACTAATTAACGGTCGAAAATTAGAAAAAGTGCTTATCTAGTCAAAAATCATTTCCTTTGTACCAGTTGAATGCGACATTGCAGTATTTAAGTTAATTAGTTTGATTGCTAACCTTTCATTCTTATTTCGGCACTGCAGATGATTTCCCGCACTTTATGTCACACCATCACGAGGGACACGGCCACCACGGCAGCCTGTATAACAATCCATTTGGCTCCCTGGCGAACTACCACGATGTAGGCGAGTTCCATGAGATCCACCAGCGTAACTACGACATGAAGAAGAAACAGCTCGAGCTCAAGAAGCAGCAACAAATGGAGATGAAAAAGCACAGGTGAGTGTCGCTCAGGAACTAAGGAAGCCATTAATCAGGAAAATCTGACCTGCCCATTACCGAAACCTAGCCAGAGCGGTCTGAACTGTATTTATGAGCTGTACAAATTAAAAAGTAGCAACTTTTAGCCACCGTTACACAGATCCCGCCTCCAAAAAAGTTTACCCTACTCTATAGTCCGGACTAAGGACTACAGAGGACGGACCCAGGACTCCGGACTTCGGACTCAGTGCCCGCCACAAACTTTTCATATTCTTATCAATTTTCCAGGTTGCGTGTGTGGCGTGTTTATTAAAGTTTCCTTATCTATGGTCTAAAAGGATTTTGCCAGGCTAAAGCCAACGGCTGTTGGCACATTGTTAGAGTTTGTTGCCCGGCGTCTTGCCTTTTGTTGTATAACGCATAAATAAATTTTGTGGCCCAGAGCTGGCTACCTCGGCGTTCTTCCGCCCCGGCCTTGGCGGGTATTTGAAATCTTTACGTGGCGCGATTGGATGTGAAACGTAAATGAATGCAATAAATTATTTACGTTCACCTGTGATATTAACAATCAAGCAGAGAAACTTTTCCAATATAACAACTTTTTTTCCCCCAAGTTGCTGGGAATGGAAGGACGTGGTAAAGTTCTATATATGATCCTGCCGAGTGGGATGAGTGGTGGGTGGAGTGTCAGCTTAATGAAAGCCATGAGTTTGCTTACCGCTTCCTCGAAGTGGCCGCCTTTTGATGTCGGCATTGCACATACGCCACGTGGCACGTCTTTGGGATTCCAGAATTCAAGGGCTAGGGAAACCTAAAATAGAAATATAAACCCCAGAGCACTATGACTGGATTGTGGCAGGCTTGTGGCGTGAAAGCCGGATAACATTTGGCCATTTAAGCGATGCATGTTGTGTCAAGTTAGTTGATAGATGAAAAGGTAAAAGCACAGTGAGCTAAAATGTCAGGGCCTTCGCCAAGTTACCTATGAAATTTCCATTTTAAAGCGGTTACTTTCCCCTTTTTGTCGCTGGCACAAGTTTCGAATTCAGATGCCATAGAATGCTGAGTTTATGGACGCTAAAAGTTTGCGCCGCGCATGTGTGTGCTATATAAAACCACTTGGTTAATTTGCCATAAAGTAAAAACCATAATTTACACCCGTGCCATTTCCTCGCCGGGTAATCAGCGAATGCTAATTGCATTTGCCTCGGGAAAGAAGCCAGCCCGAATGCACCAGCCGGCTGGGGAAACTATTTTATAAATAATTTCCCACAACTCAGAGAGCTGTAAGTAGCAGCGGGGTGAGGTTTGGGCTGAAAGGGTAAACTGAAGCTGTGATGAAGGAGCCCAGAGGAAGCGGATCGGGGAACTAATTTCGCTGAGAGCCCAATGGCAATACGAAATAATTTATATTCAAAGCGCACAACGCGTTAATGCTGAACACAAGTCGATTTCCCGAGATGCGGAAAATGTGAGCTCTTCTACTATAAATTACATAAAGATGTAAGCCATTTTTTCCGGCTATGTAATAAGCAGCTGCCATCTAGCCAAACACCTGTGGATGGCTTCAGTTATGGAGCTTAGGTATTATGGGAGCGTGATTGCAGTTGAAACTGGGAGCCTTCGGCCGTAAAACCATGTGATAAACGTTGCATATTTATGCAGCCGCCTGGCGTAAACTGAACTGAAAGCGGAGGACTACAAAGTGCACATGCACAACGGCCAAAACAAAGCCGCCAACAATAACAAAACGCGGCACAAGGACGAGCTGTGTAACCCAAACAATAAAAGCAACAAAAAGGGGCCACGGAGTCAGTAACTGGCAACGTTTATGTGCATGCCAATGTGCATAAATTCCTTGATACACATATGGTCAAAAATGTAGAATCTAAGGAAGTTAAGGGTACATACCCATGGAAGGGGGTTATGGGGTAACTAGTTTGATAGGAGAGGTTCCATAGATTTATTTGCAAGCTGAGAGAGTAACTACTATCTATCTATAGTAACTATTAGAAGTTCCTTCCTTTCATATAAAAATGAAATATCTTATTGCAACACTGACTTCTATTGTGACTGCGTTCATATATTTTTAAGCATTCCTTGGCTACCCGGGCGTGGAATAAACTGCACTGTTTATTAAGTTTGTGCATCATGCCCAGCGCATACATGCCCCACGCGGGGTGTGGTAAAAGTATTCATGTTATTTTATGCAAATGCAATGCTAATGTCGGCGCCACAGGCATCCCACTGCCACTGTGACGGCTGAACGGCAGCCCACCGCCCACTGCCCACTGCCCCAGCTCATGTGCATTCAGCGACCTTGCAATATTTATGGGTCGCATTAAATATTGAGCATAGGTCACACGACATGAGCCATGCAAAGTAATTAACCGCTTAACGTGATTAGTGGATCCCGACCGAAGACTGACACACGAGTGGGGCCTCGAGTGCCACTCAACAGCCGGAACATCGAAAGGCTTTCAAATTGCCCTGCCTCGCATTGTGAGCTTTCGACGGTTTTTGTTTCATTGTTTGCTCTGGAGCACAGCTTGAAGACACTTTAAGAATGCAACATGAAAAGAACAAAGCCAACAACAGCAATAACAGACGTTGCACGGCTGTAAAGGCCATAACACGTAGCGTTGAATGAACACTTGTCGAGGGAGGGGGCGGCATCTAAAGGATGGGTGGCAAGGGCTGAAAAAGATGGCCCAGCACAAGGCAAGGACATGGGATAGGGGAATAGTAGTGGGAATGGGAATGGCGCGCTTCATGCAGTCAAAAAGTAGTTTACACGTTGTTGCACAATTTATGTTTGTGCAACACGTAAGGCCTTTTGTGGCAGGCCCAGCCTGCCCAAAACTAAATGTTGTGCAGGTCTGAAGGTCCTTGTCTGGGTCTAGCTTCAACCTGTGCGCCCCACTCTCGCCCACATTGCGTTTTATTCCGGCAGCTTGCTTGCCCTTTGCACACTTCCTTTGTGCCATCATGCCCCCCGAATAACACACACGATATATCTAAAAAGCAATCCAAAAAGCCAACAAACGGCAACTTAAAGCGGCCACAGGAAACTCCTCTTTAATAAGGGCCTCCACTGTGGAGGACGGCTTACACCACTGGGCATGGATACGGCTCACCACTTGGCCCCTAATGGAATTGGTATTAAAACCACATTTTTAAATTATTTCAAGGAATGCCACGAAAAGTCCCCGAGAAAGACTTGTGCCAAAAACACAAAACAATGCTTTCGGGTTTGCGCGATTGCTGAAATTCCTCGAGCACAAAACAAAGGAGCGTCCTTTCCGCCCCACACTGCAACTTGTAATTTTCATTTAATTCTTAGTGTGAGTTTCGGGGGCAAGACCAGCGCCAAATTGCCACCGACTTGACCCTCAAAAGGGCGGCCATTAAATGTCGCGGCTGCTGGACTTGGAGCGCCCGAATTGGCTGCTTGTTCTGCTGTAATTAGCTCTGCCTTTTGGCCCAGATCGCGTGTGTGGCGGTAATCCTTTAGGGCGGGTCATCGGTCGGCCGTCGCCGGTCGATGGTCGATGGTGGCTGGTTTTCGTTGACGTGCCATAAACGGCGACCGAAATTCCGGTCAGAGGTAGTCCCTCTACTTAAATTTACGGCAAGTTTCAAACTGGCCTTCAATGCCAATGCGCTTTTAGTTTTAATTGCAACTCGGAGATGGCTAAGTGCTCCTCCCCGATAGTACCAGGGAGCTGAAATGCTGAAGCACGGCCATTAATCTCGGCGCCACTAACAAATCCACGAAAAAGAGCACACATATACATAAAATTAAGTTTCTATTTTACAACGTAGTAGTAAATGGCTAGTGTGTTACACAATTTGGCTAATTTGTAAATTAAGTGGGAGTCTGGGCGACCTACTTGACCTTGTTCACGGGCAGGTAGGTGGCTCCGGGTGCTGCTGCCGCGGGAGGAATGTAGGAAGTCGAAGGTGCCTCCAGTTCGGAGGACACGCTACCGGCGGAGGAGCTGCTGATGCCGCCCGCCCGACGCTCGTCAATCAGTGGCACCGACTGTACCACCTGCTGCTTGGTGGCAAAGTCCAGCACGGGAGCCACACCTCCGTTGTGCAAGGTGGAGGATCCACCCAGACGCTCGTACTCCTGCTGGATGGTGCGCTGGGCATTGACGGCATCCTCCTGGGTGCGGTACTTGACAAAGTGAACCTCTGGCTTGCTGGCGCTCACACGGTTCAGGTTCTGGAGCTGGTTTGCCAGGCTGGAGAGGTCGCCCTGCTTGGTCAGGACATAAATGGCGGTCTGTTGCTCTGCAGCCTGCTTGGCCAACTGGAGGGCGGCGTTTTCCAGACCCTTGTTCTCCGGCGCCCGAATGAACACCACACGGAGGTTCTTCTTCAGCGAGGCGGCCAAGTCGCTGACACTCTTGTTATCCTCGAAGTCGGCCTCTGGGGCAGAGTAGGTGAAGAACTCCTTGTTGAACTCAGTGTTGACGGGGGCGTAGTCATTGGAGTAACTCTGGGTGGAGCCCAATGACCCACTGGAAATGGAGCCTCCGGAGATGGAACCACCCGAAGATCCACCAATGCCTGCCGCATAGTTGTAGCCTCCCACATCGGCACGAGCCACAGCCAAAAGGGTTAGAACCTATTAGAAAGGAAACCCTACATATTAATCCTTATATCCAAGCGTCTCATAGTATACACTTACGATAAATCCACGCATTTTTCTCTAAGTGTTTGTTGAATATTCGCTAAAAGCTGTGAAGGTGTTAAGCACGCCTAGAGGTGTAAGCTGTTAATGCTACAGCCCATCTGACCGATGGGCGTTTTTATAGCCCGGCTAGGCTAAGATGCAGATTTCGAAGATATGGCTCAGCGGGTGTAGCCGATGCCGTTGAATCAAATATTTGACTTCGGATATTGGATGCCCGCTGGCCGTTGCAGGTGACGCAAGAACCTGGAACTGTATCCGCCAGCATTCGTTAGCATAAATTCAAAACGGTTTGCCAATTTCGCTGGGCCAGGGC